AAAGAGAGGAACTTGTACTGTATGAGAAGGTCAAGTGTCATAGAGAAGAGTGTGAGGGTGGTAAAATAATTGTATAAGGATGGTGGGATGGCGGTAAAAGTGTCAGAGGTAACTTATAAAACTTCACCTTGTTAGCAATCTGAATACTTCCTGTTGTTCTTGGAGATCATCAGTTCTGTTTGTTTATTTTAAGCAAATTTAGCACAGGTTCTTGTGTTATTTTCAGGCAACAGTTTTCCTGTTAAAACCTTTCCCTATTTGTCCAGTGATCTAGAAGAATCAGGAGTTGAGTTTCTATTACAAATGTGTGGAGAAATTGTGTCAATATTTTGATAATTTCAAAAATGCAAAGTTTCTCAATTGCTACATTTTCCATTAAATGACAAATATGAGGGTTGCTCAGTGGCGCAGTAGGTCGATTCCTGGCCTGGGGTCTTTCTGCATGGAGTTTGCATGTTCTTCCTGAGCATCCATGGGTTTTCTCCGGGTATTCCGGCTTCCTGGCACAGTCCAAAAACATGACTGTTAGGTTAATTGGCTTCTCTAAATTCTCCTTAGGTGTGAGTGTGTGTGAATGGTTTTATGTCCTGTTTGTCTCTGTGTTGCCCTGCGATGGACTGGCGACCTGTCCAGGGTGTGTCCCCGCCTCTCGTCTGTATACAGCTTTAGATAGGCACCAGTACCCCTCACGACCCCAGTCAGGATGAAGCGTGTCAGATAATGGATGGATGGATACCAAATATGAATGAAAAACTGAATATGTTTTTTTTTTTCATGAGATAACTCTTAAAACAACCTGGCAGCAGAGGATGTAAACATGAGATATACAGTATCCACATTTCAGTCACGGCTCTAGGGGGCCGCCATTATCTCCCAACTACTTCCACTCCTCCTCTTCATATTTTTAAATGGCTGGTTTTAGGTTAGTCCATTTCCAGCTGGTGTTAATACATCATTCACCCCTGGACCAGACCAAACAAACAGACCAAGACCCACTTTTTGAGATTATCTCTACTTCCTTATAGACTCTGATGTGACGTTAAAAAGAAATGGTTTTAATCTGTCCAAGCTATAAAAAAAACAAACAAACATATGTTTCCGTTTACTCCACAAGCCACTGTAGCAATGAATGTAGTACTTAAATCATCCTTTATCAATCAGCTGTTGCTTAGCAACGTTGCCGCCAGAATGCTGTGGGTCTCAACCGTTTTGTAGAACACATTCTCCAATGCTAATCCAAAATCAGGAATAAAACATCTGAAAACGTGTTGAATCAGCTTCTCTAAACACAATTATTTAGCTGCAACAGTAACGGCACAAATATGCAGAACAGAAGAGCAGAACAAAGAACCTCCATACTAGTTTCCTTCATTTCATGGACTGTGCTCCTCACCATGTCTGTCCAATGGGAGCAGCAGTCCTTACGTGTGGCTTTGTTGAAGTTATATTTCACTTGAATAAAGTAAAATGTTTAAAAAAAAACTTCATTGAACAAGCTTGATTGAACACAGATAAATAAATAAAGTGTGATTTTGGCATAAATACAGCCAATTTAACTAAAGCCCTGTTATTCTGGGTAAGGTTCACCTCTTTCATGTTTTATTCATTTGTTGAATATTTTTCTTTTCACTCTAATTTCAAAGCTTTAGAAATGGCTCTGTGGGCCTTTTTTTCAGACTGCTAGATGTCAATGACTCTTATATTTCAGCGTTAGTCAGTAACACAAAGCTCAGTATACTGTTATATAGAATGAAAGCAAAGTGAACAAGATGTCAAAAAGTACATGAGAGGCTTCGCTCAGGGTGAGCGGTTTAGAGAAGATGTTACGCCCACTCACACTCTTGTGTATCTAAATGCATTTTAGTGGCGTAGGATTGATGTGTTGCACATTTGTGCCGTTCTTTAGGAATTCTTGCATGTGCAACAAAAACTTTGCTGCAATTAACCAACAAGCTTGCTATTTGAAAGGTGCATTGCACACGTTTAAAAGTATGGTTTCGTTTTTAAACATACATGCCATTACAATGGTCCGACGCGTTAAATACATTTTCCTCTATATTCCACAGTTGCCTCTACAGGCTCAATTAGCCATTCATGAGAAAATGAGTCAGATTCTTTGGCCGTGTGCGTGGGTGTGACGCGCTGGTGGCCCTTGTTCACCTCGGCAAAAGGTTGAGTCTCCGCAGCCATTAACACATTATGGGCTTGACACTTGGGGGAGGGACAGATGACTTCTACCGCTGTGCCACCCAACACATAGGATGTATTAATAATGGCAGCGGTTGTGAATTGTGCTCTCATCAAATGATAAATCAAATAATATATGAAAGTTAAAGCTAAAGTTATGTCTCTCTTCATCTTGACAGTGGTAGAAAAGTGTTGAACTTTATTATTATTACATTGCCACAAGTACAGTGCAACGATATTCCCTCTCTGCATTTAACCCATCCCTTTTGGGAGCATTGGGCTGCCTTTTTTCAGCACCCGGGGGCAGTGTGGGGGTTAAGGGTCTTGTTCAGGGAAACAGAGTGGAAGTCCATGGGAGTGGGGTTTGAACTCAGAACCTCTGGGATCCAAGCGCAATGCCCTAACCATGAGGCCATCACTCCCCTAAGACTGCTATATCAAGTAAACCTTCTTCACATAGAGGATGTGCGCTCATGTGAATGCTGTCTCTTTATGCCACCATGCTGGATAGCATAAAGCCACCTTCCATAGGCGTAATATTACAGCAAGATTTTTACTACAGATATGTAAAACAAAATGATGGGAGAATCTGCCAACTCAACATTGTCTACATATGTTGAACATTTGGATGGGAAGCTAAAACAGACCTGCAATGCAAAAAGAAAACATGTTGGAGTGGAGGAGATCTGCCTTTGGAGCCACAGTCGGCCCTCTCTTTGCCTAAGAGGTAAGACGCTCCTTTAAAAAATAAGTTACCAGCTTACTTTCCTCAGATGACATTACATCTCTAAAACCTGTGTAGTCACAGCAGGAGACTGAAGGGCTTTTTTCCCCCCCATGCCCGTGCATGACAATGGTGTCATTTCAAGTTGTCGCCAGAGGGGCAAGCATCATCAAAAAGCTCACACTATGCTCCTATAAAGGTGTGCAATGTCAAAACTCTGTCTGCCCCTGAGGATTGGAGTGCCCTTATTTGTTGGAATTCTCCTTTCTGATGTTTTCAGCAATTAATAAGATGACTTAGTTAGTTCAATCATAGACTGTTTAAAGAGCTTTGTCAATTCATCCTAAATATATAAAAAATCAAATAAAACCAAGATGTAACAGCAGGAGGGGGGTTCACTTGTCACTTGCAGTTTGCAACATCAGTGCGCATCAAAGGAAATAACCCTCATTCTTGATGCTCTATTGAATGTACTTCATTCACTTACATTAGGATGTAATTAAAATTCGAACGCAACATGCCAGCATTTCCGGCAAGATAAGAACCAGCTTCAGTTGGAAAAAAAAGGGCTGAGATCATTTAGATAATTTAGAGGATGGTGGAGATGTTGGAGAAATGATCTAGAACATGTGGACGCACTATATATACTGTATATATCCCATGCACCTTTTTCTTCCTTTGGCACGTTCTTGTACTTTGACTATTTGAGCTGATGTAACAAATACATTTCTCCAC